AAATAAATAAGGCACAGCTGTAGGAGTAAGCACACACTATAAACCAACAAGGTATAAATATTCTGGGGTTAAACACCATCCTCTTTTCCTACACACCAGCCTCTGGCTCTCTGCTCTAGCCTCTCTTTCTCTCTAGCCCAAGAGAGCAGGGAAACTTCCTTTCATTCCCCAGTGCAGCCGACTGTGGAGTGGCTGAATTTCTGCTGCCTCCCAGGGTTCCCACTGTGACCTGGACAGCCTGGTCAGCACAGGCAGCAGGAGCCTTTCCTAACCTCCTGTAGGACGAAGACTGCCTCCTCCCTGAATGGGCCGGAGTCTATATTGATGCTGCCCTGTCCCTTGGGACAGTCCCTCTGTTCCTGCTCTTTTTGGCCTTGGGGTCAATTGTAGTCCAGCAGATGAGGAAGCCCCATTCAACCCAGTGAGTGATACTACTACAGGCCCCTCTCTGGAACTACAGCTCAATGAAACCTTACGGCGGAACATTTTAAACAAACACAGGTAATTGCCATTTCGTTACACCTACCAACAGCCACTGAGGAAAACGTTACTCCCACACAGGAGGAAAGCAGGAGAAGCGTCTTTGTCAAGAAAGAAAACCAGGCAGAGTGGCTGAAGGGGGAGTGGGCGGGGAAAAGGAGCAGACACAGCACCCGGCCAATTGCACGCGAGTACTCTTGAGTGGTGGCTGATGGGCCAATGGCTGAGGGAGAGCATTTTACAGCCAATGGGAGTGCATGGAATGTTGCCACTTTAAAACAGCATTTTTATATATAGAGAGATGCTATATCCCCTTATGATTCTATGTTTAGTCAGCCACAACAAAAAGATGATCGTATGGAGATTCCAAGCTTGTGCCTGATGCATGATGGCTCAATGCACTTCTACAAAACACCACACATGGTTGTCAGGATAAAATGGGGCAGAGGAGAACAGTATAAGCCCCTTTGGCATGGGGGGAAGTAAATAATGTATGAATAACATTTTTGATATGACCTTTTCAATAATATTTTTAACAATATGCTGTTTTCTTCATATCTGCTTCATTCCAAAGTGCTTCGACTGGGACGATTTGTGTATTCAAAAACTAAAGTGCCTGCAATTCATGGTCATTTACATGATGTACAGCTAAAGCAGTTTGCCCACTGTTAATATGACATTCCAAGGAAGCTCTGAAATGAGACATGCCATCCAGTTGACCAAACAGAAGCCCCTCCCAACCTTGAATTTATAATTTCCAAATTCCGCATTGATCTTATGGGAAATGCAGAATATAAAAATTTAAATACACTCTACAGATGTAGTAACTGGTCTCAAAAGTAGCTGCTGGTAGTAGCTGATAGTGGGGTATAAGAGCCAGAAAGTTCCAAACTGAAATCTCACCATAGCTACACAAAATTCACCATTAAAACAGTCCTCCACATGCAAGATAGGAAGCTTACTGGTCTACAAACTGGAGAGGGTAATAGTGGCTCATTTGACAGGATTACTGCCCCAAAGTATGGGTGCTGCTGGAATTCTGTGACTGGAACTTCATGCATGCTTTGTCCTTCACTCTTCCCCTGTGCTGTATTCTCCATTCAAAATGACACTCAGGGCTTCTTGAAGTCCCAGTGGGAAAACAATGCCTCTCCCCCACATTTAATGTAGTACAGGGAGGGCACAACACAGGGGAAAGAATTAGTGTCCCTGCCCTTCCCAGTGTTAAAGCCCCAGTACACATCAGCCCAAAGCTTTGTGGCTGCCAAGTAACATTTCTAAAGTTCCAACCACAGGAAACCTCCAGCATTATGTTTCGTTAAGCCCCAGACTATATTTGAAGCACTTTTGAATGCACCATTATAAAATGGTAACCTTTGTTATGATTGACCCTACATAACTCCAGTGTTTTTTCATTGCCGCTCCATTGCAGACAGGGAAGAAGTCAAGTGGTCTGTACAACAGATGATCACAGGAATAAACAAAGACTACCATGATGCAAACACACAAGAGAAATGACAACAAAAACAAAACCCCTAATGAAATAAAACCAGACTATGGATACTTGATATTATTTAGCACTATCTAGTCTTCTCTCTCTCTCTCTCTCTCTCTCTCTCTCTCTCTCTCTCTCTCTCTCTCTGTGTGTGTGTGTGTGTGTGTGTCCAGAACCAGAAATCAAGGATAAAATAAAAACTAACCATGATCTGAGCATGTCCATTAGGGAATGAACTTGAAGAATCTGCATTGATTGGATCTTGGCAGTTTCTTAATCGACATCTAAATGCATCTTGAACCTGGTGGGAGACATCACATACTTAGTGAACCTCTTCAAAAAATCCAGTCATAGACAAAACTATTAAACAGAAGAAGCATAACAGTTAATCCATCTTAATGTTCCTTGGTCTAGAGTGGTATTTACAGTGGCACTTGCAATGATGCAATACAGCTCTCTTGTCTCAAAACAAATGTTAAAATGGAATGACAATTCCTTAACTACAGTTTGTATTGTTCAGCAATACGATGGTGAGGGCCAACACAGCAGCAGAAGGGTAGCTCTGTATGAAAAAAGGGCTTCCAAGAACTTTCTGCATGACAGAAGTCTTTGCTCTCAACAATCCTTTGGATGAATTCTGGATGGAACCATATTTTTGTACTTTAGTTTTTGTTATTCTAGCATTACCACAACTGATTAAACTTGTGGATTAATCAATGAAATAGTTCATTGCTGTTTTTTAAAGAAATCCTCCTTCCCACTTGAAGGATATCTGCTTCAACAATTTTTCTGTTGAGAATCTGCATTAAAAATATCCAAAATAGGGGTGTGTGTGTGTTCTAAAATGACACCAAATTTAATGATGTGGAAATTGGCAAATATATTTAACCAATTTATTAAAAGTCAGATGATTAATCAACTGAAATATTTAATTGGCTACAGCCCTAATCACCAATTCTAGATAAAGAGATGTGTCTTGGTATGCACGGACCATGTGAATGGATACCTGAGACTCTAGAGCCACGGTCAGATGTACCTTTAGATCTGTAAAAGTAAAGGTAAAGGTTCCATTGCTTGAAAGCCAGTCAAATCTGACTCTAGGGTTGCGGTGCTCATCTCCGTTTCAAAGCCGAAGAGCCAGCGCTGTCCGAAGATGTTTCCGTGGTCATGTGGCCGGCATGACTAAACACCAAGGCGCACAGAACGCTGTTACCTTCCCACCAAAGTGGTACCTATTTATCTACTTGCAATTTCTTGCTTTCGAACTGCTAGGTTGGCAGGAGCTGGAACTAGAGATGGGAGCTCACTCCATCATGCGGCACCCAGGTCTCGAACTGCTAAACTACTGACCTTCCACAGCCTGCAGTTCAGTTGCAAATGCCTGATGGATCTAAAGGGCACAATCAGACAGCAACATCTGGGAAAGGTACCGCAGCCATCAGCACCCCGTGCTGCCATGCCACGGAAGTGGAGTTAAAAGACAACGGGGAAAGTCTGGTCCTAATACTTGCCGACAGGCCACAGATGGACTTTCCCCTGTCTGATCGCTCAAGCGCACATTCAAGCCGTTGGGATGGTCTGCTCATTCCATCCTGACTCGGTGCTGGGTTTTCCCCCTCACTGAGCAGTATGCGCATAACTGCATACTCCATAGGGAGCTCTCAGTGTGAAGGTGCGATTCCTCGTTTATGCACATGGGAAACAAAAGGCAACCCTCCCCACTCACCCGAACGTGCTGTTTGATAGTGAAGTGACAGGTTGAGCCCATTGCTACAAAGGATGTGTTATCGCACAACGCTATGTCAATTTCCACTGAAGGAAATGGGCTTGCTTCCCCTCTGCACCAAATGGCATGTCTGACCATGGCCTAGACTGATTTTTACGTTAAATGACTGAAGTACAATTAGGGTGCTGACACTGGTCCCCCATTCTCAATGCAGTTGCAGGGACAAATATTAGCTGCTAATGGTAGGGGTAGTGCTAAGATACAAACTCTGCAGACCACCTAGTTTAGCAGATCACCTGCTCCTCTAGTTTTATCTGCAGAACTCAAGCTGCTCCACTTGGTTTGCACCAAGATATGTCACTGGCCCTAGAGCTTTTTTGACTCTAGCAACACCAGCAGCCTAGAAGTGATGAGCAGGAGCAGCTACTTGGGTGAAGGTTTCTGTCATCTACCTACCTAGTGCTTTCTATTACCACCACCTCCTGAAACGGTAACTTGGCTGGGGATACTATACCCCTCCCCAACCTGTATTATTGGGCTTTGACTCTGTAGGTGGTTTTTTTTTGGGGGGGGGTATAGTATACCCCCTGTTCAATTGCTCACTCTGGAGATTTTTTTTTGCATTTGTTGAAGCAAGCCTTTGAGGTCTAAGTGATGTCCAGAAGGGACTGGGTGTCTGTTTGAGTTTCATAGTAATAGGGGCATGAGGTCTGGATATATTTGGATATTGAGTGATTTCACTGTTTGAAAGATGCTTTGATTCCTTTCATCCAAAAGGAAAGTGGCATATAAATGAAGAGTGCCAAGGAATAAAAGAAGGGGAAGGAAACTGATTTCTGCCATTGTGTGTTTGCTTGCCTTTGCCCAATGCCAAGAGTAAGCAATCTACTGGTCACTCTGCTGCTGGCTGCCTCTGTTGTCTGACCACACTGTTCCAAGCAACTGAGCTGAGTAAGCATCTTCTAATATCTTCTTTTTTCACTGTATACACAGTGCTCTGGGTAGAGAAAGCATCTCCTTGGTCCCCCTCCCTCTCCTCAACATCAAGCGGCAAGACTGTCTGGGAGCCAGGCAGAGCAAAAGAGACAGATGTGCTGAACGTGCGGGTACCAAGGAAGTGGTTTCCTTAGCAACAGTAACCAATTCAAAGCTCTCATGGCTTACCCTCTCTCCTCACATGTGTGCCTGTGTTTTCAGCCCATGTGGTTTAGATACTGAGGGTGGTAGATTGAAATGCCAAAGACAGAATTAAATGAAAATGTGTGGGTGGAAAATATATGGGTGCTTCGCCCATTACCAACAATAGCTGGAGTTGCTTAATATGGCTCAATTTAAGTCCATAACATGCCACGTGCATACATGTAATATGCACATTGTGGTTAATGTGACTTGAGTGGGAGGTGTGCATGATCCCCAGGCACCTTGTTCATCTTGTGGCAGACCTGGGATTTGTTCATTCTATCTGAATAAAAATAACCGAGGGTTGTTTAAAAGACAGCTAATGCAGAATTGTCGTCTCTTTTATATCCAAGCAGAGAATCTCACAACATCCCCTGGTTTCCATCCTCCAGTGGCAATCAGGTCTCCCTCTGGGCTTGTATTGAGTTTTGAATACTGCCTACATCTGCAAATTTCTGCATGGTAATATTTACATTGCCACTTAGCCCAAGATGAAACAAAAGTAAGCCAAAGGTCCTAATTATTCATAAACTTTTTTAAATGTTGCTACTGAATTGCTTGAATAATAATAATTATTAATAATAATTTATATAGCACCATCAATGTCCAAGGTGATTTACAGAGATAGACCAGATTCAGAAATCATGACAAAGTCATGTGCCCATGCTGGGCATGCCTGCAGGTTGTTCTCATGCTCACACTCTCCCTACTCCCACTCTGATAGGAGAGAGCAACTGAAAGTTTCCTGCCTTGGAAAGGCCTGCCTCAAAGCAACTTAAATACAAATGGGGAGGAAGGCAAAAGAAGGGAGAGCATGACAAGAATGCTCTCCGTGTACTTTGGACCTGTTTCCATTAGGTCAAAGGGATAACTGAAGTCAAAGTCATCAAAGACAATTTTTATGAGAGATTTTAAGGAAAAGAAAGAGTTGTCATGAGGCAGGTGTTCTGAGAGGCACAAGAGGTGGCAGAAGAACAGGCAGAGTCATTAATGAGAGCAGGAGACTTTTTGATGGTTGCAAGCGTGAAGGTCACAAGTGATGATAATGACGGGAGATGCAGGCAAAATGATAGAAGGGAGCTGTATTGTGACCACCTATAAATGCCTCAAAAGCCAGAGAGTGGTTTAACAGCAGAGTTCTGGACAGAGGTGAGAGGACTGAGGTGTGGTAAGGAAAGGCCAGAGATGACTTATGGTCAGGATGACCAAAGCATGAACCAGAACTTATATCTGAGGGACTGGCATGACTCTTCCATTATGAAACAAACTATAAGCATATCATCTCAGAACATCTGACCAAAGCACAGTCACAACTCCAAAAGCATTGTAATTTAGGATGGCCTCATGTGAAAATACGACAGCAAGATAAAGAGTGAAAAATCCCCACTGATTTCACAGTTGGAAATGCCAAGCTAACTTCCCCCCAAATAACTACTTTGTTCAGTGAAGAATAATGGCTTGGAAACAACTGAACATTTCCAAGAGGAAAAGGATTTCCACCCATGGAGTATGACTTTTTCATCTTACCCCCGCGGCTGCAAGCCAAAATGTCCCCCCAGTGCTCTTCCTGGGGATCCCTGTATGCCCAAGAGCATCCTTTGGGGAACCATTTTCAGCTGCAGCAAGACAGGAGAGTCAAGAAAGTCACACTCCACAGGTGGAAATCCATCTAACCTGCAGAAATGTTTGGCTGAATCCAAACAATATATTTAACAATATATCCAGCATTAATGTTGCAATGGCATGATCAATTACGTAGCTGATATTTTATGCATTTAGTATTGTAATAGCATGGGCAGAGCAAAACGTGTGTGACTATTACTCTAAATTGTAACATTATCTGTGTCAGGTAATTTGACTTTCAGATTTATTGTTTTGGCTCACAAAGACATATTCCATATTTCATGTGAATTCAATGGCATACACAGGCATGTCAAACTCTTTATCTATTAATCAGGCTGTACAGATGGTTTTAAACTTGCAGAAAATATATAAGCCCTCTAAAACAAGCCATTTTCTGGGACTTGACCATGTGACAGTGAGGTGTTTGGGGAACAAGATTCAGTGGGACTTCTCAATAAACACTGATTCACACAGCATATGCAGAAAGGAAAACCTATGGTTTGAGAAGCAGTATTTGTGAAGCAGCTGATACGGTTAAGTAGTTCAGATGATACATGGGGAAAACTGCACTTGAAAGGTATCTGGACCATTGTCACCAGTTCAACAGAGAAACTACACAGAAAGTAGTCTGGCTAGCTATTCAATTTGCCATTGAGGCACTCAGCAGACTGTATTGTCTAAAAATGCAAATAGTCAGATCCTGCAAGCTAAGTGGAAGAGGGTTTTTTGCTACCTTGTTCATCCCACCATGACCCTCTGTGTCCACTGAAAAGCTGCTCCTGAGGGGCCAAGGGGGACCTTTGGGAATGGCATAGGATGCAGCATGAAGGAATTAGCAGAAGTTCCCCCTCATCTAAATCTTGCATGAGGTGGGGGAAGGTGATTTCTGTCAATGTCTCCCTTTTGGCTGAAGCCCTTATACTGCATCCCACACAGTTCTCAAGGGCCCCTTAGATCTTAGGAGTTGCTGAGGAGGGTCATGCAGTGGGCAGAGGAAAACAGCAACAATCCTTTCCATGGACTCACTCCATTCAGTTTTTAAAATCCAGCCCTAAATCCATATTCATTTTACATAAGCCTGATTCTCTGTTTAAAGCAATCACTATGTTGAAACTTTAAGCGCAAGTTTGTTGGCCATGTAACTTTTCCAGCACAGATCCATGAACCAAACTGCAATTTTCTGATGGCTCCAGCTCAAAAATTCACTTCTGAAAAAAGTTGCATAATATATTTGGCACATCTTATGTGGGAGCCTGTTATGCACTGTTGTGGAAATGGCCTTATGAATATCAAGTGCTACACAGGAATCTGCTCTGTTTATTATTTTCAGTTTTAATACTAGTGATTTATGGATGTTAATGTCATAGGAGACCTCCTGAAGCCTTTTAAAACAGCAAAGGATGTGTTCAACTTATGGGCTATTTGAACTATGTGCTCTTTGAAATTAACCAGGCTTTTCCTGACCTCAGATCTTTCTACTCTTCATCATTTTATTACTTGCACTTTACTCTTTGACTTCAATCTGTCTATTTGTTCATTGTATTAACCTTCCAGGGCAGCTCTTCATTTTTCTTTGCTGTCTCTCATTTGCCTGTTTTTAAGGTTCCCTGTTCAGTTTACCAACTTTGGATCCTGTCTCCCCCCCACCCCCGGATACAACTGATTGAATTGTTCAGCATTCTGTACAGAAAAATGGTAAGGTAAGAAATGACACCATCAGGAAGCTGTTCCGTACCTCCCTTCGGAGAATGCAGTGGACCATGACAATGACAAAGCCTTGCAACGAATCAAATACTGCGAAGAGTATCTGAAATAATATCGATCGCTTGTCTGTCATGGCGAGAACTGCCGACATCCAAGTAAGAGCGAGGAGAGGCAATACCACACAGGAGCTCCAAAGGGATGCCCTAGACAGTGATAGAGAGGGGAAAAAAACCAGCAGCAACAACAACATTGTAGAACGGTGAAAGCACAAGCACAACCCTATCCTTCTACAAATATATCTCTTATTTAAGGATGGCAACATTTCAGTTAACATGAAAGCCAATGACAAATATTTACACAGATATATAAAGATCAACATTTTATTTTCTAATTGTTACCCCAATTGAATTTTAAATGTGTGGTTGCCATTTTTTAATTAACTAGGTCCAGTATTAGTAAGCCCAATTTTTTCATCACTGTAGTATTTTTTCACATGCACTGTATAAGATTTGTAACAAGAAGATGTAAATGATTAGGACTAACATGGCATTACTGGCGGTGGTGGCTGACAAAGCTGTTGTTGAAACTACTCCACACTTGGCACATTTGAGCGTCAAACCGCTATGAGGCTCACTCATCTGACTGCAAACAAACAGAACACCCACAAAAAAGAACAAAATATTGAATTTTTTGGTCACCAAAAAAAGTCGCTACTGAAATTTAGCTTTTTAAAAATATGATGTCATGCAAGAAAAAAAAAAAGCAAGTAGACTTTATTCAGGATGAAACGTTCTATTCTATTACAAAGCTCTATTTGTAACATTGTATGCTTCACACTTTTCAAAAAATATTTATGCTATGGGGGGAAGCTTCAGTTCATGCAAAATCCAATTCTTCCATTTAAGCTTCTTTAAAAAAAACACAAACAAACAAACAAAAACAAGGCCCCCAATGCCTGGGAAGAAAATGTTGCTTGATACACTGAAGTAAACAAGCACGTGCTAGTGTAAGACACACATGGTGAAATTCCTCTATTCAGACCATTAGAAAGACCAATATGCCCACGATCCTCCAGGATAGACAAACATGACAAATAGCCCAGGCAAGACACATACTTTTAATTAATTTAAACATGAAGGTAGTTGAAGAATTGCCCCCAATCAAGATGGGTCAGTTAGAGAGCCAATAACTTTATGAGAACAATTAGAACAGGTTGGATCCAATACTGAGCAAGAATCATCTTAGCAAGAATCATCTAGCTTTGCCCAGTCTTTGCTAGATGTTGGTCTGGATATAGGGCTTGAAATGTATGGAGTTTTAATGAAAGTATTCAGGCTAGAAGAATTGTGATTTTTTTCACTTTAATAAAACACAATGCACAAGCATTAAAATTATTATTATTATTTTTGGTACAGAGTACTACATCACAACCCTCGGCAACTGTTTTGGACTTCCTCCCCCATATACGATTATAACAAATTCATTGTCTGTCTATCTGCAGCCTTCAATCCATCCTAATAGTTGTAGTGTCATAGAAACATATAGGGGAAGGCTTTTTAATCAAGCAGCAGCGGTAATTGCTTACTTAAATTATGAAGGGGAAAAGTGACATTTACGAAAAAAATCTTCATTTTTTTCCAATCTTTCCATGAATCTTCAGATTTCTCAAACTACCCCCTATGAGGTAGTATTATGTCTAGTGTCATACATAGCTCTCTAAGCCATATGAAACCATAAGATAAAAAAATAAATCTGAATTAAATACTTATGTGGAAATAACCCTCTAAGCGGTATAAAGTTCCAACAGTTTCTACACCTAGGGCCATCTCATGGTCAAGGGCCAAGCAATCCCCCAGAATGATTTTATTCAGCTCTCCAGGTATTGGCTGATCAATACAACAAAGAGGACTTCATCACAATACTTTAAATGCATTATTAGAGTAACTTTGCTGGCAGTGAAAAAGCAATATACATTCACTGCCAAGATCTGTGTTCTGATAATAAAGCAGCCACTCTTGGGAACACCAACTGGCTACCCCGGCATACCATGATGTGAGCCATATATATTGGGGAGGTAAAAACTATGTCTGTCTTTCACCACTAGTCTGCCATGCCTCTGTTCACAGCCACTGGAGAGGAACATATGTTTTCCATTTCTTTATAACACTGTTCTTTTTAATATAGAGAGTACTGCTCCAAAGGATCTGGTAAGGCAATCATAGGGATGGACCCCACCAACTTTTTTGCTCCATCTCAGCCAGTTCCCCTCCTTGTTACAGCTTCTGCCCAGGATGGGTTTTGACCATGCAAGTTACATGCAAGTCTTTTTGGTGATCAAAGGGGACTCCTTCCTCCCTTTGTCATAAGTAGGAAAGCCTGCTGGATCCAGCCCCTACAGAGGAAATGGCTACATGACAGCACTCAACATCTGAACTCATGACCCTTCAGGAGTATAATAAAGCATTTGCCCATTCCATTGAATGAATACTCCCAGAGCTCCATTCAAGGAAATGTGTGAAATTGACAACACTTGCTCCCTCAAGTGCTGATTCATAACAAGTATCTATCAGAGGTTAACTTAAAACAATGATAACCTGCAGTATCTTTAAACTAACAACTGTATTGCGGCATAAGCTTTTATGACCTAAGAACTCACTTTGTCAGATTCATGGAATATTGTACTTTGGGTGCTAGGTATATATACACACATGGGTCTAGAGATTTTTTCAAACAACTGTGTAACCCGTCAGGTAAACTAATGTGACACCAATCATGTGACATTTGGTTGTGAGAAACAGTTATCAAAGATAAACTTTGATTAACAGAGTTCTTTTAGCATGTGAATGCAATATTCTTCCCAGCATGCAGACATACCAACTGAAGCTTTAATGTTGGAGAATGAAACCTCACTGGACATGATCCAGCCAAAGTTAAGCACAGAAGTCCCACTGATATTACAGGGAATGTTAACTGAATATTTAAATTTCTTTTACTGAAATCGATGAACCCTGATCTGACAAAACTTCATAATGAAGCTGAATCCCCACTGATCAACAGTCTAGAAAGGAAAAGATTGGGGGGAAATGACTGAATTCAGCACCTTACTTCCTCTTCTGCAGAGTAGGAATCCAGCTTTTCCTCAACCTGTTTGCATATGGAATTCTCTACCAGCCAGGGATACCTCTGCGGAAGGGTGTTTCTGCATTAATAATCCTTACCAGAAATATAATGAAGGAATCTCATAGTGCTTAAATTTGGCCAGGTCCATGCCCATGGTTTCCAATATGGCCTTGCTTTTAATTATGGAAATGATTAAAAGCATTTCAAACAAGAGAAGAACTTGAACAAATTACAGAAAAATTGAGGTAATAATATATATGCATAGAAATTACCCATACCCAAGTGTACACATATTACACTTGAATGACCTGTGTTCAAATCTGTATTAACTGTGATCAAGCCAGTGAGGCAATGTGCAACTTCATTTTTAATTTTAATGGAAAACTAGGTGGCAAAGTGGCACAAGAATAGGGAACTCCTTTGTGCAAGGGCATTATGTGCTATGACTAGAGAGAGCACTAGTAATACAGTAATCTCACTGTTATACAAATGTGATGCTTCTTTTAAAGATGTCATGTCCCGGTAATTTATAATCATATATGGCAAGAATCCCACTCCTACACATCGTGCTTTAGTCAGGTTGCAGCAGTTCTAAAAAGGGAGTGGGAGTCTATTAGCTAACCAAATCTAAATAGATGCACAAGTATTTCATACAAAATCAGTCCAGAGATTAAGAAGATCAAATAACTCAACGTTCCTGTTATAACGTTACCAAGACTTCTGTTAGTTGCATCTTTAGTCTTGACTTAATAGCACTGTACATGTATTTTATTATTTTACCAATTTTTGTCACATTTCCTGAGTTTTGGAGATGACTAAACCTGGTTACACAGTTTGTTATATAAAGTTTAAAAAGTTCAAGGTGCAATCAAATAAATGTATGCTTATATATATATAAATTGGAAAAAGTCACACTTGCAGTTGTCCTGAGAAATGCCCCAGCTTCTGCTTACCCTGCTCTGTGTTTGAGTTTTTTATCAAGGATTCCATCTCTGGAAACAAGTTTATTAAACACCAAAATGCCAATCACCATGTTGACCTGTTGAATATACAAGAAACAGACAAAAAACAAATAGTTGCCCTTTTACAGTGACACTGGAGACAAACTTCTAAGCCCAGCCTTTGGGCAAGCAATTTAAAAAAAGCAACATCAAGTGCCCCTGTCCAGCAACTAGCTGGCCCATGTGATGGGGCCTTGTTATTTATGGAACAACAGTTTTGCACAGCCCTGTCTGCACGGGATGCTGCTACAGGAGCAAAGTGAACAGAAGCAAAGATTTGCCTTCCAGGTGCAAAGGCTTCCACCAGATGGTGCTGCACTCATGTAAGCCAAATATACAACACTTGAGAAAGTGGGTGTGGATCCACAAAGCACATGTACATAGGATACTATTTTGCATGTACATCTTTACCAGTTCACTGGGACCAGGCTGGGTGGGGGCAAACTAAAGGAACAAAATTCCAGGGGGCCCAACTCCCTCTGAAGAGTAGAGCAAGTTGCTGCTTGGGGGACAATAGAAACACACCTCTTGTAACCAAGCTTATGTTTCTGAATGTAAGAGTACACAGAAGGCCTGCAGTGACTCTCTGCAGTCTAGGGCTGCCAAATGTGGGCGGGGGTTGGGGAATCCCCCGCTTTGAAGGCCCGATTCCCCCCCCCGACGATCTGGGCCACGCCCCCAACGTGAGCACGTAGCATGCAACTTCCTGTGATGTGCTGCCGGCGCGCGCGCGCAAAGCGCACGCACGCATCCACCGCGAGCTCCCAGAGGCCGGCGAAGCTCCCCCGCTGCGACTGTTGAGTAGACTTGGCAACCCTACTGCAGTCCGATTCTTAGCAACCCTAAACAGGACAGATGTGCGGATGTACAGTCCCATCCTCAGCAAGAATTTTGCAGCAATTTATGCACAGTACATGGCAGGCCACTCCTTGAATAGGAGAAGACCTTGTTAATTTCACCACAACCCTTGATTTGAGTGGCCCAGGAGAAGCAATGATGCAGTTATTGCAAACAAAAAAACTGTCTGGAAGGGCCCAAGGCTTTAGTCATATGAAAGTGCCTCATACTGAATCAGGCCCTTAGTCCATCAAAGTCAGACTGGCAGCGGCTCTCCAGGGTCTCAGGCAGAGGTCTTTCACATCACCTACTGCCAGAATTTGAGCTTGAGATTTTGGGGCTTGAACCTGGTACCTTCTGCATGCAAGCAGGTACTCTACCACTGAGCCACAGACCCTCCCTCCAGTTAGACCAATTTTAACAGTCAGGCTTGGTATGAGCTACAAGTGCAAGAAAGCAGCTACAACAATGCTGATGACATTCAAGTTGACCTGGATAAATTTTCTCATCAGTTAGAAACTAATTCCCAGAACCAAGTTTCATTCTTATCAGAGGTAGCATGAGCTAATTTAATTAGATTCTTATATTGCGTTCTTAAGCTATTTAGTTGTTGGAGGTGACAAACCGTCCTGCTATGTCTGGTTTTCCTCATTTGTCTGTTTATATATATTTTCTTTAGATTTCTACATTCCAAATCATACTATTTATTTCAGGGGGTATAGTATATTTGAATATCTTGCTTAAAGTGGTACAGTCAAAGATTAATATGGGATAATGTACAATTCTGGCAAGATAACACAGTTTTATTTAGATTACTGTAGTGTTTGAGATCTCCTGCCAACCTAGCAGTTTGAAAGCAAGACATTGCAAGTAAATAAATAGGTACCACTTCAGTGGGGAGGTAACAGCATTCCGTTTGCCTCAGCATTTAGTCATACTGGCCACATGACCACGGAAACGTCTTCACAGCGCTGGCTCTTTGGCTTGGAAACAGAGATGAGCACCATCCCCTAGAGTCAGATTCAACTGGCTTTTGAGCAAGGGAAACCTTTACCTTTATTTTTAGTGTTTGAGATACCAAGGATTAGTCTTTTTGTAGTTACTTACAAAGCAATCAGGCAGAGATATTGATTCTTTGGGCCTGAACATGCTTCAGAGCCAATAAATATATAGCAGGTTCTGTTCACTTCAATGGATTAACAAAATCGGGAAGCAGATCTGCATTCAGAGGAGGATCAATATGCACCCAATCTGCATTTTGAGTATGTGCGATGTTTGCAGGGAAAAACGAGTAAGTGTTATGAAAACTGGTAACCAGAAGCTTCTTAAATTACATTTTCTTGCTGCTTCCTCTTGCACTTCCTATGAAGGGAGGGAGAATGAGCTTTCTCGCATTTCACAAAAAATTATTTTCCCTTTGACCACCACACAATGAATTCAATTATTTCTTTATTTGAAATATCTGTAGCCTGCTTTTCACCCAAATGGAGCCCAAAGCAGTATGATAAAGAAACCAATCACATTGAGTCCAGGTAACTCATTTATTCACTCCTGTTTGGCACCTTACAGGTGCTGTGCTGGACAGACCATTTGGCATCGTTTTAAGAAGGCTATCAGTGAAGGCGTGTGTGTGTGTGGGGGAAAAACAGGTTACTTACCTGTAACTGGTGATCTTCGAGTGGTTATCTGTCCATTCACATCCATGGAATTCAATGCGCCTGCGCTGGATCGATCAGTATTGTAGCAAGCTCTAACGGATTTTCGCACCCAGACCTCAGGCATGCGCAGGAACCCCAACCATGCCCAGAGGGGTGGGCGTGGACATCCCGCCAGTTCTTTCAAACCACCGCAAATCAACAGCTATAAAAGAATGTAGAAGCTGACAGCAGCGTGGAAGGAGGGCGGGTGGTGTGAATGCACATATGACCCCTCGAAGATCACCAGTTACAGGTAAGCAACCTGTTTATCTTCAACATGGTCTCTGTGCTTCACACTCATGGGAGATTAGCGAGCAGTGGCCTACCTGGAGGAGGGTGCTGACAGGTCATTACTGCGAAGCCGAAGATAAGATGTGACGTCCGATGTTGGTATGAGAGTTCTTGCGGACATCAAGGGCGTAGTGCCTTATGAACATATTAGGCGTAGCCCAGGTAGCGGCTCTGCAATTGTCCATTAGGGGAACTCCCTGAAGGAAGGCAGTTGAGGCTGAAACAGCTTGAGTTGAATGAGCCCTGATACGGCCAGGCAATGGCTGCTTAGCAATAAGGTAGCAGAGGCGGATGAGACCTACAATCCACCTTGACAAACGCTGAGCCATGATGCTAGTTCCCAGCCTTGCTGGTGCATAGGAAACGAACAGTTGACTGTCATGTCTCGTTGGACGAGTTCTCTTTAGGTAGAACAGAAGTGCACGCTTTGTATCCAACGTGTGTAACAGCCTCTCTTCTGGGGATGTCGGAGTGGGGAAGAAATCCGGGAGGAAGACCTCTACCTGTAGGTGAAATTCTGAAACTACCTTTGGCAAGAACGAGATGTCAGGAACAAGATGGATGCCATCTGGCAAAAATGACAGGTAAGGAGAATCATGTCTGAAAGCTAGTATTTCCCCCACTCACCTCGCCGAAGTGTCAGCCACCAGGAAAGCTGTTTTCCATGACAGCAATTTCAACTTGCAAGTCGCGAGCAGCTCAAAAGGCTTTCTGGTGAGTTGGCAAAGTACCAGGGGAAGGTCTCAGGAGATGACAGGACTTTTGATTGGAGGATAAAGGTGTAATAGCCCCTTCAAAAAACGTTTTGAAAGAGGATGCGAAAAAGTGTGCATCCCTCAACTTGAAAGTGGTAGGCTGAAAGTGCAGCCAAATAAACTTTCAACGAGGAATGTTACAGTCCCGAGTCAGCAAGAGACAGAAGGAAGTCAAAGACCCTCTCGAAACCCACGGAGGCGGCTCGAGGGGCATCCTCATCTAAGGAGGAACAAAACTTTTCCCACTTGTAATGATAAGACTTTTGTGTAGTGGACTTTCTGGAGTTAAACAACACATTCAGTATGCGGGAGGAAAAACTATGTATACCATTCTCCAGGCCGTCAACTTCAATCGTGGGATGTCGTGGTATAGGAGAGGGGACTCGGATAGGAGCAAGAGGTCCTGCACTGGCGGGAATTGGTGGTAGACCCCGCTGACAGATCCAGGATGGTTGAGAACCATGGCTGCCTCGGCCACCACAGGGATATGAGGATACTATCCGCTTTGTTGCTGATGATTTTGCACACCACTCTCGGAAGCAGAGGCAGCAGGGGGAAGAGGAAATCTCTGGACCATGGGTAGAGGAGACCGTCCCCTAAAGACTGCGGGTCCCTGCCTCCTCGGCTGCAGAACAGAGGACACTTTTTGTTCACCCTGGTGGCGAAAACATCTATCTGGGGGAAACCCCACTTGCAGAAGAGTGGGAGAAGGTAAGTTGGATTCATTTCCCACTCGTGCAAATGGAGTCCTGCCTGACTTAGGTGGTCTGCCTGAACATTCATGTGCCCCGGGATGTGTGTGGCGACTAGGAAGATGCTGAGGGCGATACAGAAGTCCCACAACCGAATGGTGAGCTCGCAGAGGTGTTGAGAGACAGTGCCCCCCTGCTTGTTTATGTACTTGAGGACAGTAGTATTGTCCGTGAGAACCGTGACACACTTCCCCCGGATTAGGAGCAGGAAACTGGTGATAGTAAACTGTATCGCAAGTAGTTCCAGAAAACTGATGTGACGGTTTCATTTCTGTGTGTCCCATCTGCCTCTGACACAAAGTCCCATCATGTGAGCACCCAAACCGGAGAGAGAGGCATCTGTTGTCAGGGTGATCTCCGGTGATGGAGGATGGAAGGGTGCTCCCTGGAAAAGGTTGGGATGGGTAGTCCACCAAAGTAGAGAGTCCCATACCTTGACTTGTGGGGATAGGTGGGTCGAGTGTGTGTCTTGCTCTGGATTGAAATTGCGAATAAACCAAAGTTGTAGGTGGCGCATTCTCAACCTGGTAAAAACCAGGACTGATGTAATAGTGGCCATCAGACCGAGGAGCCTCTGTATTTGGAAAGCCGTTACCGAGGGCCGGGTACGCATCACAGTGGCTAGATTTACGATGTCCGTAACCCTGTTTTGTGGTAGGTAGGCTCTGCAACTTGTGGAGTCCAGTAGTGCACCGATGTAGTGTATTTTCTGGACTGGTTGAAGTTGAGACTTCTCCAGATTTACTTGCAGACCCAGGTTTTCCAGGAGGGTTAGCATCTTGTTGATGTTTGAGACTAGGGTGTCCCTGGAAGTCGCAACCAGGAGCCAATTGTTGATGTATGGATAGATGGAAATACCTCTGAGATGAAGGAAGGCTGCAACTACCACCATCGTCTTTGTGAACACTCTCGGTGCACTTGAGAGACCGAATGGCAGAGATGCATATTGGTAGTGATGTTGGCCAATTGCAAAGTGTAGGTATTGGCAGTGGGACGGGTGGATGGTGAGGTGGAAGTACGCGTGCTGGAGGTCGAGAGTGGCCATCCAAATGTTCCTCTGGAGAAGTGGCAGAATCTGCTGCAAGGATACCATGCGGAAGCGGCGGTAGCGCACAAAACAATTGAGCACCCGTAGATCTAAGATTGGTCGAGCTCCTCCATCCCATTTTGGAATGGTGAAATAATGGGAATAGAATTCCCTGCCGTGTTGGTGAAGTGGCACCGGTTCGATGGCTCCCTTGTGCAGAAGGACGGACACTTCTTCCAGAAGAGCTGGAGAAGGGGGTGTGGAGACAAAGACCGGAGTAGTGGGGTTCTGTATAAAATCTATACGGTAACCATGGGTCAAGATGGACAGCACCCATTTGTCCGTGGTGATGAGGTGCCAAGTTTGGAGAAAAGGGGCTAGACGGGTGGGATGTGACTGGAAAACATGGAAGTCAAAACCCTGTTTAGTGGACTTTGCCTGCTTATGGCGGGAGGGTTGTTGTCCCGATACAAATCTGGGTTTCTGAAATGCAGGCTTCTGGCCTCCAGAGGATGTACGTGGCCTCCACTGCTGCTCAGGAGACTGACGATTTGGGGTATGTTTTTGCCAGGGTCTAGACCAAAGACGAGGCCGGTATTGTTGTCTCGTGGAGGAAGAAACACCCAGAGCACGAGAGGCTTTTATACTTTTATCCATATCTTGTAATATGGTGTTTGTGGTACTATTAAAATGACCAAGGCAATCAAAGGAGAGGTCCTCTACATATGTCCTGGTAAAGGTAAAGGTTCCCTTGCTCGAAAGCCAGTCGAATCCGACTCTAGGGTTGCGGTGCTCATCTCCATTTCAAAGCCGAAGAGCCTGCGCTGTCTGCAAATTGGTGTTGTGTACCCAGGAATGTCTTCGGACAGTGATGGCTGAAGCCATTGTCCTTGAGCAGGTGTCTAGGGCATGTTTAGCAGTATTTATTTGTTGTTTTGCCAGCACCATGCCCTCCTTTTGGATGATGTGGGCTAACTGATGCTTATCTTCTGGAAGGGTTGCTAGGAGTTCAGAGAGCCTTTCCCATAAAGTGTATCGATATCTACTCATACATGCTAGGTAGTTCGTGGTCTTCACCCCGAGTGCTCCCGTAGAGTAGAAACATCGGCCGAATGCATCTAGCTTTCTGCTCTCCCTGTCAGAAGGGGCAGAATGGGTTCTCTTCAACTTGGATGGGGAAGTAACTACCATTGAATTTGGTTGAGGATGGGCAAATAAGAATTCAGCTCCTGTTTCCTGGACTCTATACATATAGTTCATGCGGTGTGTGGACACTGGAGCTGATGATGGTTTATCCCATGACGTTTTAGCCACCTGTAATAGGACTGTGGACATGGGTAGTGCTATGGCTGTCGATGTATCTAATTTTACCACATCGAATACAGCATTTGTAACCACTGGTTGAGGTTGTACAACGGAAAGGCCAAGGGAGTGGGCCATTCTTTTAATGAGGTCTCCATAAGAATTTAGATTTTCTGATGGAGATATGGGTTGGTCATTGGCCACTGCCTGTTTAGGAGATGGCTGTTCAGGCGAGCTGTGCAACTCTGAAAGCCCCGTATCCGACTTATGATCTTTACCCGATTTTTCCTTTTTCTTTTTTACGGGAGTGGATGCCGAACACTGTGCCATCGGTGCTGGATGCTTCAATGTCAACTGGATGATGTAGGATGAGGACTTTGACGCCAGACCGGTACTTCTGGATCCATAACGGAAGTGGGGTTTACCGCCAATTCTAATAACGCTACTTGGAGACGCACCGCTCGATTCTTCCTAGTTTGATTAGAAAACTTGGCACAGTGCCGACAGGATTCTGGTCGGTGCGTCTCACCAAGACAAAAAATACAAAGGGTGTGGCCGTCAGGCGGAGCTAGCTTACTGCCGCACCCAGTACAACGCTTGAAAAAGCCCCACCTTTTCTCCATAAAATAAACAAAATGGAGAAGAAAAAGAGGTGTGTGGGGGGGAGGCCGAAGGCCAGACTGAGGTAAGAAAAAACTTCCCCTCAAACTTAAATAATGTTTTTGTTTTTTTAAAAGGAAAAAATGAAGAAGCAAAGGAAAAAGAGAAAAAACAAAGAAGCAAAGGAAAGAAGCAAATGAAGAAGCAAAGGAAAAAGAGAAAAAACAAAGAGAAATCCGAAGAGCCTCTGAGGAAAAATAGCTACCAATCAAGGAAAGGTGTTTCCAGCGCGGCAGAAAGAAAGGAACTGGCGGGATGTCCACGCCCACCCCTTTGGGCATGCGTGGTTGGGGTTCCTGCACATGCCTGAGGGCTGGCCGCGAAAATCTGTTAGAGCTTGCTACAATACCGATTGATCCAGTGCAGGCACACTGAATCCCATGGGTGTGAAGCACAGAGACCACGTCGAAGATCAAAGTGGTTTGCTCTGTTACCAGCCCCATCCCAGGATGAGTGTGCTGAATAAGACCAAGAGATGGCAGGCAGTCTGAAAACTGAGCTTCAAATGCTATTAGCTGAGTAAAAATGTGAGAAACCCCATTTTGCAAACCCTTTAACAAGCAATGCTTATTTTTCTCCTTGTGACTGTGCAGCCAAATGGAGAGATTTTAGTGTGACCTGCTGCTTACATGGGGACAAGCTGCAGCCATTTATATGATTGTCACTGTTCCTGGCCAAGCTAACGTGATCACAGAAAAGACTGCAGCAGAAGGCTGTTTTCACTACATAATAGTGTGGAAAAAATAAGCGCTGCTGCTTTGTGTGAATTGTTCCCTGGTTAACTCCAGCTAAGCCTCCTGTTTTCTTTCCAGTGTGGGCAGGAATGTTCCTGTTTATTTGACTGCACCTAGAAGACATGCACATTTTAATATTGTGATTCATTACGACATTTAAGTCTTAAAGCGTAATAGTCTGGAAATCTTTGGGGATTCTCTCTCTGCTCCACAGTTATTCCACAGTACCTTTGAATAAATATGAACAACATGTAGCAAGAGAGACCTTATGCCTTTGTGTACTTGTGTATATTTCAGAATATTCATGTCTTATCATATAATACTAAGAGTACTGGCATATGCAATGCGAAATAAACCTGTTTTCATAACTTTCAAGATGCAATTTGAGATCAATTACTTACTAGGCACTCCATAAGATAGATAGATAGATAGATAGATAGATAGATAGATAGATAGATAGATAGATAGATAGATAGATAGATAGATAGATAGATAGATAGATAGATGATAGATAGATAGATATTCCCATGCCTACTTAACATACTAGCAGTGATTTTAATATTTACCAGGACAACAGCAGCTGCGGGTCCAACAAATGCATAAAGAAGCCCTCCTTCAAGAGACAGCCAGCAACTGGAAAGAACATTAGAAAAGAACTAATACAAATTAATAAGATGTAGCTTCTATCTATTCAATTACAGACTGCAGAGCATACTGACACCCTCAATGATGGAGATATTTATATTGTTAAGGAACTTTCTCAACAGATTTAAAGAAACCCTAACACTAATCACATATGTAAGTGCCTGCATACCCCAATTATTAGCAATGTCTGAAATGGGCCTGTAATGATTTCTTGTTTTATATGTGTGTGTGTCTCTTTAAAAGTTTGGTTGCATGGCTGAGATATATTAGAGTGGTTGAAAAGACAAGAGTGGTGTGATTGGTGATTGACAGAGAGGGGGAGGGGTTTTGGAAGTGGTTCTGAGTGGATGAATATGAATGTCTGTCAAGAGTGACAGTTACAGGTTTGACAGTTGATAAAGACAGTTGATAAGTTAGTTAGTTCTGAGGTCTGTGAGAGAAGCAGCGAGTTAAGTTCTGTGTATGAGAAAAGTGCGAAGCATTTCGGTGTGAAAGCAGTTAAGCTGTCTGTTGATGTTGTTCAGAGTTATAAGAAAGTCTGAGTGACAGGCTGGAGTGAAACAGTCTACGTCTATGTCCTGGAGTTGAAGTGTTACAAAGTTACCTGAAAAATCCCTGTCAGGAAGGGAGCAGATCTTGTGTGGGACACCAAGCAATTGTTAAAAAGATTCACCTTACTGGTTACATTGTTCTACCCTTTTATTTATGAATTATTTCAATAAATCCTCTTTTATTTAAGTATACCAGTTCGGAAATAAATACTTCCTCAGTACCACATAGTTTTCCATAAGCCTTACACGCGACCTACCTACCCAGTAAGAGCCAAAGTAAAAGTATAAAGGTTTGGAAAGCCTTAAATTTCCTGTTGGCAGCCGGATATATTCTAGTAGACCAAAAATAAAGAACACTTTTAAAGGGAAACCAGACCTCCCCATATAAGGGGTCGTCACAGGGCCATTCTGTTTTGCTTGAAAACTGGGATATGAAGCCTGCCTCACAATGGAAGTTCTCACAGAACAAGCAGTGGCACAAAATGAATGGAATGTTGGGCCCTGGAAATTCCTCAGACTGAGGAGAGAGAAATTACTAGTGGCAGCCCGGAATATAAATCTGAAAATTGCACTGGCTACACATAAGCGGGACTTTCGCTTTCACAAACTGTAACATCCCCTCAGGTTATGAGAAGAGCTAACATCCAAAGGCAATCAGAACATATATAGCTACAATATGTACTGCATATTTTAAGGGAGCTGGAATATTTGTTAAGTGGAAAAACATACTGATCAAGAAACAGCAGTCCATTCATTTATTGGTAGCTTGTATTTTCATGAAGATAGATTCAGGTGGGTAGCCGAGTTGGTCGAAGCAGCAGAACAAAGTTTGAATCCAGGGGCATCTTTAGACCAACAAAATTTTATTCAGGGTATAAGCTTTTGTGTATCTGAAGAAGTGTGCTTGCACATGAAAGCTTATGCCTTGAATAAAATTTTGTTGGCCTTGAAGGTGCCACTGGACTCAAACTTTGTATTTTCATGCTCAATGAAATTTTTAGATGATTGCCCATTATAAAATTTCTCATGGCTATGCTGAGTATTTCGGGAATGTTTAGCATATTTTCATTTAACAGTCTTCAGGTTATCACACCATGACAAAGAAGAAATCCCATACCTGCTAGGAAACTCTTCAGGGAGCTTTTAAAGTACTAAACTAGCTTATTTTAAAAAATTCTTTTTCAACTCAAAATTCTAGGGCTAATTTTTTATGTTCTTCACATTGAAATTATTTCTGACAGATTGACTCAATTTAAATATACTAATTCTTCATTGATAACTTTCTATTCTATTAGAAACACATCATAAAACAGAAGTTAAGCCTTTTAACTACAGTCACTAATAATATGTAAAATGTTAATGACTTTCATGAAAATAGATGTAGAACTTTCCAAAAATAAGGAGCTCTTAATCCTTCTAAATTCTAAGTGACTTTCTAGGTGTTAGCTGTCTTCCATACTGTGGGAATTTCAATCAACTTGTTCAGCATTTGCAAAAAAGCATGGCAGTGTAAGATCACAATTTGTTTATTTATTTTACCTCATTTATATCCCACTTTTCTCCCCAATGGGGACCCAAAGTGGCTTACAACATTCTCCCCTGCTCCATTTCATTCTATCCACGTCTCCACTGAGGTATGGAATGTTTATGGACTTGTTCACCTTGATCATTTGGCTTAGGCCAGAAGATAGAGCAACAGAAATGAAAACCTGTATGAGTGTCCTTTTCTAACAAAAACAACAAGAACAACCCATGCCGAAAGGATGCTACTTCTTGTTCCCTCAACACCATATACTTTCTGGATCCAATTCACATATTACAAAGTCTTTGTGTCTGCCCTGAGGACTTTGGATCACACAGTCACTAGGAGTTTCATACTTCAGAGGTGTGCATGCATCCATTTTAGATGAGGACTGCATTGTGTGTGGATGTGGCTTCAGCCTTCCCCCACGCATCATTTTCCCAATCTGAAACAGCTCCCAAGGGAGCCACTGTTTGTCCAATAGGGAAATCCATGTGTAATGGTAGCTACAAGTTTCCTCAGCGAGGCAAATAGCAGCTTCCAAGGGCTGTTTCAGGTTAACAAAATTGTACATAAGAACATAAGAGAAGCCAATGTTGGATCAGGCCAATGGCGCATCCAGTCCAACACTCTGTCACACAGTGACCAAAAATACCAGGTGCCATCAGGAGGTCCACCAGTGCGGCCAGGACCCTAGAAGCCCTCTCATTGTTGCCCCCCCCCCCCAAGCACCAAGAATACAGTGCATCACTTGCCCCAGACTGAGAGTTCCTATCTATACCTTGTGGCTAATAGCCACTGATGGATCTCTACTCTATATGTTTATCCAGTTCCCTCTTGAAGCCCTCCATGCTTGTAGCCACCACCACCTCCTGTGGCAGTGAATTCCATGTGTTTATCACTCTTTGGGTGAAGAAGTACTTCCTTTATCTGTTCTAACCCGACCGCTCAGCAATTTCATGGAGTTCCCACAAGTTCTTGTATTGTGAGAAAAGGAGAAAAGTACTTCTTTCTGTACCTGCTCTATCCCATGCATAATCTTATAAACCTCGATCATGTCACCCCTCAGCTGTCGATTCTCTAAGCAAAAGAGCCCCAAGCGCTTAAACCTTTCTTCATAGGGAAAGTGTTCCAACCCTTTTATCATTCTAGTTGCCCTTTTCTGCACTTTTTCCAATGCTATAATATTCTTTTTGAGGTGTAGTGACCAAAATTGTACACAGTATTCCAAATGAGGTCACATCATCAATTTATACAGGGGCATTACGATACTTGCTGATTTGTTTTCAGTTCCCTTCCTAATAATCCCCAGCATAGCATTGGTCTTTTTTATTGCAGTTGCACACTGTCTTGACATTTTCATTGAGTTATCTATCTCTCTTGGTCACTCTCTGCCAGTTCGGACCCCATCAATGTGTATTCATAGTTAGGATTTTTGGCCCCAATGTGCATCACTTTGCACTTGGCCACATTGAACCCCATTTGCCACGTTGACACGCACTCGCCCATCCTCGATAGATCCCTTTGGAGTGCCTCCCAATCCTCCCTGGTTTTCACCGCCCTGAACAATTTTGTGTCATCTGCAAATTTAGCCACTTCACTGCTTACTCCCAACTCCAAATCATTAATGAACAAGCTAAAAAGAATCAGAGTACTGATCCCTGTGGTACCCCACTGCTTACCGCCCTCCACTGAGAAAATTGCCCATTGATACTCACTCTCTGTTTCCTATTAACTAGCCAGTTTTTGATCCAGAAGAGGACTTGTCCTTTTATCCCATGACTATTGAGCTTACTTAGGAGCCTTTGATGAGGACCTTTATCAAAAGCTTTCTGGAACTCAAGGTAAACAACATCTGTTTGGTCCCCCTTGTCCACATGTTTGTTCAATCTGACTCAGGTCTTTCAGCACCCCTCCCAAAATCAGTGGTTCTGGAGTGGGCAAGCACTTCTCATCTTCCACAGTGAAGACAGAGGCAAAAAATGCATTTAGCTTCTCAGCCATTTCCCTATCATCCTTCAGTACTCCTTTTACCCCTTGGTCATCCAAGGGCCCCACTGCCTCCCTGGCTGGTTTCTGGCTTCTAATGTATTTGAAGAAAGTTTTGTTAATCTTTATGTTTTTTGCAATATGCTCCTCATATTCCATTTCTGCCTCCCTGATCACAGACTTGCATTTTATTTGCCATAGCCTGTGCTCCCTTTTATCAACCTCACTAAGACTAGCTTTCCACCACTTAAAGGAATCCTTCTTACCTTTTACAGCTTCCAATACTTTGTTTGTTAGTCATGCAGACCTTTTTCTATACCTATTTGTGCCTTTCCTAACCTGAGGTATATATTTTTTCTGAGCTTCTAGGATTGTAGTTTAAAATAGTCTCCAAGCTTCCCCAATGGTTTTGACCCTTTCTACTTTTCCTTTCCGTTTCCTCCTCACATGTCCCCTCATATCAGAGAAGTTACCCCTTTTAAAGTTAAATGTGGTTGTGTAGGTCTTTTTGGGCAACTCCCTATTTATACAAATGTTGAACTCAATAACATTATGGTCACTGTTCCGAAGCAGTGCAATCACTTTTACATCTCTCACCAGGTCTTGGGCGTTACTTAGGACCAAATCAAGGATCGCCTCTCCCCTGGTAGGTTCCGTGACCATCTGCTCCATAGCACAGTCATTGAGAATGTCTAGAAACTCAATCTCTTTTTCCTAACTTGAACACATATTGACCCAATCAGTGTGTGCGTAGTTAAAAATCACCTATTACAACACAATTATTTTGTCTAGCTGCTATCTTTAATTCATTCATAATTTTATAATCCTCCTCCTATTTTTTGATCTGGTGGACGATAACAAACTCCCAGTGTTAAGTTTTCTTTTGGGTCCACTATTTCAACCCATAGCATTTCCAGAAGCAAGTCCATTTTTTTTTTACCCTCTCAGTCTTACTGGGCTATATACCCTCTCTGACATACAGAGCCACCCCCCTCCACCACCCCCTATCCTTCCGATATAATTTATAAGCAGGAATCACTGTATCCCACTGATTTTCCTCATCCCACCAAGTTTCTGGAATACCCACAATGTCTATTCCCCCCCCCCCAAACACCAAGCATTCCAACTCCCCAATTTTACCACGGACACTTCTAGCATTTGTATATAAACATCTATAATTTCCCATGCATATCAGGCCCACAACCTTCCTCCTGCTGCCTCGAGACCTTGCCAGCCAGTCCATAGCATTAGTCACAGTCTCAGTGGAGAATTCTAATTCATTTCCCTGTAGAAAAGTAACAGCTACCCCTTCATCTCTTTGAGATGAGCCACCCCGAACCAGAGACTTTTCATCTCCTGTCAGCTTTCCCCAATGGTGAAGGGGAAGGGAAACTGAAACCCCTTCTTCATGTGAGCTGAAGTCTTGACCCAAATTGGTCCTGTGTGGACCTGGGAAGGGCACTCCCAGTGCATGTGTGATCCAAAGTCCTAATGATAGCTCTGGGAACTTTGTAGTGTGAGAACCAGCCCATACATTCAGTCCTATCTATCTCTATTAGCTGTGTCCTAGCAGCTGGAAACTGAGATGGATTTTTGTCTCTATTCACACTGAATTCCTTTCTTGGATCTCAAGGAGTCTACAATACACTGAAATAGCCTCCATGTACTCAGAGAAGCCAGAACGGTACCATTACTCAAATGCAGGCATGGTGTGATTAGCAGAGATGGAATGTTCATTATTACAGAGTGACTTACTAATTACTAGTTCCATATCCTTTTGTCTTGGTAAACCCTATCGATATTGCCACCACCAATGCTGGTAAACCTGTAAGAAAAACCCCGGCAATTATTTCCCTGATGAAATTAGGCTGTTTCCTACAAAAGCTCATGCCACAATACATTTGTTACATTTCTGAGGTACCACAAAGCACTTTGTGTTTTTCTTTCCTGTAATAGCTACTCTTCTAGAATTTTACACAGTAATTGTTATTTATGTGGCCCACAATGCATACTGTTTCTGCTGCTGGGACATGAAAAGCTGCTGCTTACTACCTCAACTAATAAAGATCAATTTCATATGGAAAGAATCTTTTTACTATCACAACTCAAATAGCTTCTAGCCCACCATGCATCATTTTCATGTTGCTAAGTGATCAGTAAATTTGACATGGTATACAATGATGATTTGATGGATTTTATTCAGTTTTTTTTTTTAAAAGATTGCTTTTGTTTTGTATTACTGCGCTTTATCAAAAGTCTGCTAAAGGGTATAAGTTACAGAGTGATAAAAGTCTCACAATCAATTGAACATTTATCTTCAGCCGTATCTTGAAGCAAGTCAATAGAATTAAATTATATTCTTGCTTGCAATTCTATAGAAAATCTCCTAGTAGCAATATTCGTTTAGAACTTGTGCTATCTACTACCTGTCAGGATTACTGAAACAAACACCAATATTCTAAATGTTACCTGTGCATGAAACACAAAGCTAAAAGAAAATCTTAACTGAGTCATAGGCACTCACCCCATCCAAGGCATAAGAAGCGTTTTCTTATGAGTCGTGTCCTAATTTTTCCAGTTACAGCCATGTATGACTGCCACGCTTCAGTCAAAACCCAACAAAATGAAGCTAAGAAGAAGAAATGTAAAAATGCAGTGGTCGTGGTACAGATGCGCTGCAGAAAAGAAAGAACGTCTCTGTTGAATACGTAGGCACAATCAAATCAATAAAGGATAGTTAAGTAACAGTAGAACACAAGAACAAACCCTTATACTATTCCTGCAAAGGGGAAAAGTTTTTACTGAATATGTTACTGAATAGGAGTCCTGTCAAGAGTGGAACCATCTCCCAGTCTGTGTGGGAACCTCTTAACCTGAAGACTGCCCACACTGGTGGGGAACCAGTGAGTATGTTCCCACCTCTGGATACACTGAAAATGTCAGAGGCCTGCTAACAAAAGGAACAAAATAATCTTCATTTATCATCCTGGAAGATGCAATTAGTGGGTTCCTGTCTAGATCTTTGTCTATGAGCTGACTCAAATGTACAGCAAAATAATCATATCACATCATCAAGCAGACAAAACGTCATAAATGTTGAATGCTTTCTTATATCATTAACTCCTGCAGGTCACAAAGGTTCTTCCAGCCCATCTTTATTCCAACACCCCACCAGGAAATTCTGGTGTGAAGGAAGCATTTGAAGGGAAGGACCTTCCCTTGCATATTTTAGGTGGGTGGAGGACTGTTTAGATCAGCATCTGGGAGACTGCAGTCAACAGGGATAATGTGCTAGACCCACTCTCTTCCTTCCCTACCAGCCCTTTGACTCCAGATCACTTAGAAGTATTTCAGTGATGAGAGAACGGGTGGTGGACTGCTTCTGGTTCTCAGCCTTCCAAGTGTTTTGAATGGGAAGGAGAACAACTCCATGTTTCTTGTTGCCGTCATTTTGACTGCAACACTCTGCAATGCACACAGCACAATAGCTGCAGCACGTTCCAATTTCAGGGCAGAATACATGCATGAATGCAAACAGTCATTGCCATTGTGTGCTTTTTCCCCCTTGTGCAGGCTAACCAAAAGTGCAAATTTAAGCTCTATGGAAAAGACCTTTTATTTTCTAAAACTGTATGCCTTGCTTCTGTAATGTACCAAGTGGCTGTCAAAGACAGTAAAAACACATTTTTGTTTTACAACATAAAAGCAATAAAATCAGAAACAGCTGCAATAAAATAACAAGTACAGCCCAAATCCCGAAGATATAATCTTTACACCCTCAGTAACAAAAGTAACAGGACTAGCAAAAAATCTTAAGCAACTGTACACCCAACAACAGCAGACTTTATGCCTGTAGCGTTTAAAAAACAATAGAGCTCAACAACAACAACAACATTAATTTCAAAATTGTTTCTATAACCAGGTGACCTTGCACAGTCTCTGGAACCTTGCTAGAGAAGGCACCCTGCTCTCTCCCACTGGAAGGCCATTCTGAAATAGTAGTACTAGTTCTTTGCCATGATGAAAGTCACTGATCTGGATACCAAATGCATCTTCTGAACGAAAGCCACTTCCAACAGGAGGTGCTAATGCCAGTTTATGAGGGGATCTACATGAGGACAACTGGTCCTTGAACTATGGGCTTCTCGGGTTATGAAGGACTTAACACTGAGCCTGGCACCCTGAATTGCACCTGGGAAACAGAAGCCAGTGCAACTGTTGTAAAACTGGTTTGTGTTGCTCTACTCTAGCCAAAAGGCAGGCTGCTGCAGTTTGCACAAGCTGAAGTTTCTGAGGGATCTTCAAGGGCAGCCCGACATAAACTGTATTATAGCAGTTCAGTTCAGAGGTTATGGAAACCTGGATCAATGTGGCTAATTCAGCAAAGGCTGAATCAAATGTAAATGGTAGAAAATACTTCAGGCAATAACACCAACCTGTTTTCTTCAAAATTAAGGCTGAGTCCAGAAGCTCACCCAGGTTCTTCATCTGATTCTTCATTTGATTGGACAGGGTCAACTTTACCTCACCCATCCTAGGCAGACCAGTCCGCTCAAAGGCCTTCCGAACTAGCACCTCCACCTTGGAATGATATTCAAACTAGCCTCCAAGTCAGAATGGACTTGAGAGATTTCATCTCACAGAAGTGGCATAGCAGATCATGATATTCCTCAGCTCTTGGGGCAACTCTTAGATGTTAGTACTCCCTTGCAGTTTTGAAAACCTCCACTGGACAAGATTCAGGTGACAGAGGAAAAAGGTCTTCTTCATTGCCATTCAAACCACTTCATAGGATCTTTCCACAATTCACTTTGCATCTTCTACAAACCTCACTCTAGTCATCTCCTGATCCACTTCAAATCTGGAAGCTTCTTGGTATACCAGGAAGAAAATGTTTTATAACATGAGGAGAGAGAGCACCAGGGACTGACCAAGTCTACAACCTCAGGGAGTGCAGCATTCCTAGCTCCTACCACATATTTGAAAGAGTCACTAGTGAGACTCCTAAAATTCCCCAGCACATTCTTTAAATCCATACAGCTTTGGGGATAGACAATCATAGTGGATCCACCATCCTGGCCAGGTGCAGGGAGAGCTAACAAAATCAGCTGTCAGCGTGACAATGATTTCACCAGAAACCTGTTCAATGGGGAACCATAGATCCAACATATACCTTCCCCCATCTGTCAGACCCAAAATTATGTGGGTCAGTCCCATCGTCCTACACAATGCCCAAAAAGGCAGATTTGGTACGGATGTTGAAAACCTCCAGAACTCTGGAGGTCTATGGATCTTCTCAAAACCACCTTCACAAACTCAGACAGGGAACTCCCTGGGCAGCTGGGTGGCCACTGCACAAGTTAAAATATCTAATCTATCCATGTACATGGTACATACAGTTGAAGTCACCAACTGCTTATATCAGTATCTGTGGAAGGAAAAAAAATCTTGGAGAATTATACACCCTCACCCTCCCCTTTTCTCTGACTAAATTTGATGACGGACTGTAAAATGCAGCTGGGTAAAACTGGGTTTCTGGATTGGTTTGCTGCTATTATCTAGCTCCCTGCTTTTCACAGATTTCTAAACCAATTACAAGAAATTTGAAGGACGTTCTCGCTCACTCTCTGAATGCATACGTACATATATCTCAACACTCACATGTGTAGTTTAAACAACACAAAAATCTCTGTGGTTATTTCGGTTATTGTTCCTATGCATGTCAAGTGTCTGCTATTTAAGAGGTTCTTTCAACCCATCCACTGAAGCCTCTCTTTTGTCACTGCACCGCTTAATTAAACTTGACTGTGGCTCACATAAACCAGCTTGACTTTCCTGCAGAAGTAAATTACGATCCATCATTTCCCCCATTTTGCATTCAGTATGGAGCCCTAAATACTGATGAGTCCATAATATAATAGGGAATGGCACAGTAGCACTCTAGCATCAAAATAATACTGGTAATTTAGAAAGCATTCGACACAGTTTACATTTCTTGAAGCAAACAACTGTCTGCAAGATAAAAATGCTTGTTTAAAGTTACTATGGGAGCAACCCTCAGCAGGCTTACTCAGAAGCAAGTCCATGTTATTCAGTGGGACTGGGATTCGCAGGGAAGTGTCTGTAGTGTAACAGTCTTTTCCCCCTCCCCTCTCCCACCCCCAATCTCAGTGTGCAGATACCAAGTAGGGAAGGATCAAGATTTAATGTTTATGTATGCAGAGACAGCAGTGCGTTTACAGTAATAGACAGGCTCATTTCTCAAACAGTTCATTTTGTCAGATCCCAAATTAGTGTCTTATTTAATCATCAAATGGCTCTTGACTCCCTGATCCTAAGTGTAGAAATAGATGTACCTGCCTGTGACACTGGGGTAACATCACGGCACAACAATTTTATACCCCACCCAAGCATTTATTTGTATTTGGAGCCTGCTGCACTCCTCAGATCACTGCCTTTGGATAGGACCTTATGACTTGGATTCAAAGCACTCCTTGCTAGGGTTACCAAGCTCCAGGTGGTGGCTGGAGATCTCCCACTATTACAACTGTTCTCCAGGCGACATAGATCGGTTCACCTGGAGAAAATGGTCGCTTTAGACATTGGACTGTATGGCATTAGGCTCCAAACTCCGCCCTCCTGAGGCTCCACCTTCAAAATCTCCAGGTATTTTCCAACCTGTAGCTGGCAACCCTACTCCTTGCAGAAACTGAAGACACTTCCATTGACAATCAAGTGGAGGGTTTTTTTTGTTAATATGAACTGATTTTCCCAGCCGTAGCCCCTCTCCTCAACAAGCCACACTGTCCTCCCAGAGATTCTTCTGACTCCAGGAACAAACTATTCAGGGTGTGTGCATGTGGGGTAGAACCAGTTCAGAAGCTACAGTGGGAAGAAGGTGAGTGGGTGAGAAAACACCACTGTGTGAGCAGAACTTAGACTTTTTATGGATTTAAACCATTAGTTTTAGGGCTGGGAACCATAGATAATTAATTGAAAATTAGAGGATTGGGGTATTTTGAGAATTAGGCACCATGGCAGTGTTGAGTGTTTGGCATCACAATTTATACAAAACAGCCTGTTTTAATCCCCCTGAAATCTGTGACCAAATTCTTATTGACTTTGGTGATTAAATGTTTAGGCTCTAAATGTATAACTGCAAATTCCTGGCAACGGTGAGAACTAGGCAGGGAATAAACAGTTAACTAATCTTACAAATAGGATTATTTTCACTCTCAGGAATAAACATACAAGAATGAAAGAAAAGAGTGGGGTTTCCAGCTCCGGGCTGGAAAATTACTGGAGATTTGCAGGTGGTGCCTGTGGCAGGCTTTGGGCAGGGGTGGGACCTCAGCATGGTATTCTGAGGTATCCTTCCTTATATATAAAAGCCATTTGGGGTGGCAACATTCTATGTGCACCAAAATCAGTTGGCCGCATGAACTGCCAGTCAGAAGGAGCTGGCTGGGTTGGCTGCCTGCCTTGCGGAGTCTCGCCCACATTAGCTGCAGCCAGTGCCTCAGCCTCACTCTGCTCTGGTCCTCGGATGGGACCATATGCACGGTAAGTACAGGGACAGGACTCCCCTGAGGGTGCTGTGGCTACGGCTTCTCCCCACACACCCAGACAGGGAGGGAAAGGCCCCCCCTGGCCCGCTGTTCCCTGCTCGCCCGCC